TTCTCTTGGAAGGTGTGTGTGTGTGTGTGTGTGTGTGTGTGTGTGTGTGTAATGAAAGTAGACAGTGAATCATGAGAAAGGAGGTGGAGATCTTAGGATAGAGTTTAAAAAGAGGATGAGGGGTGCTGGAGAGACGGCTGCTCTTACAGAGGACCCAGGTTCAGTTCCCAGCACCCATATGGTGGCTAACAACTGTAACTCTATTTCCAGAGCATCTGACACCCTTTTCTGGCCTCCACAAACATTGCACATACATACATGCAGGCAAAACACTCATATACATAGACATTAATTAATTAGTTTTTAAAAGAGGATGATGGAATTCAAGTGATGAAAGTGAACAGGCAGAGTATTTAGGAGGAGGAGAGGGACCAGCAAGAGGGGAATTGTAGAGTTGGGCAAGGAGGAAGTGGATGAATAAAAGAATCATTATTCTATACATGCCTGGAAATGCCATAATGAAATTCATCACTTCAGTAACTCACAAATTTAAATAAAGATGTCTTAGCAATCATAATAGCATCTTACTGTTTTCTAAGCATAGCTAGCGAAAGCTGGTCCTCAGTTGATATTTAAGGATAAACACTCTTCTTTGAGAAGCAGCATAACCTTGGAGTTCAGAGAGAGAGCTTTGGAGGCAGCTACCTGGGTCAGAATCCTAGTTCTCTCACTTACTAGCTTGATGAACTGGGTCTAATTCTCTTCCCACAGCTCAGGGGTTCTGATGATAGCTACCTGCCTTGCCCAATCACCATAGAGACTGAACAAGTTTAAACTGTGAGCATAGCGACAGGGAAGGTCTAGGCATGTAGTAAGCGCTCCATATTTGTTAATTGTTCTTTAATGGTAACACTCGTCTATGAGTCTACAAATCTTATAGTGGTGGACTTGTTTCTCCACTTCACAGGTCTTCAATACACCATTCTGCCTTTGCTACCATTCATCTGTTCTTTAAAGATTTATCATTTATATACGTGTGTGTGTGTGTATTGTGTATGTGTGTAATAAAATGTTAAAACACATGGTAGTAAACCAATAGGGAGCTATGTGTGACTACTTTGTGTGTAAGGTGTGTGTATATGTGTGCATTTGTGTGTATATGTATGCTTGTGGAGGCCTGAGGTCAGTCTCAGGTGCTGTTTCTCTGGAAACCTTCAATAAAATGTTAAAACACATGGTAGTAAACCAATAGGGAGCTATGTGTGACTACTTTGTGTGTAAGGTGTGTGTATATGTGTGCATTTGTGTGTATATGTATGCTTGTGGAGGCCTGAGGTCAGTCTCAGGTGCTGTTTCTCTGGAAACCTTCACC